CATCTACTCAGCAAATCTCCAGCACTGGTAAAAAATGTGAGGGTGAGTGAAGACAACAGAGAGGACGCACAACAAAAGACAACACTGTAAATCCTCCCGGCAGGATCAGGACACTTGCTTTGTGCCTCCTGGCAGGTGGGAGGCTACTGATGCCTGCCGACAAATGGACAGAATGGTAGAATAATGAACTGGTGTTTCCCTGCTTTACTGGTTTATGAGTTTATGGGGGGCTCTGGTCACCACTAAGCCTCTCTGAGGCAGCAAGATCCAACAGAGCAGCAGATTCAGCAGGATGAAGACAGCAGACTCAGATGGTCTCACTCACAGTGAGCTGTGTGGTTAACAGGCCGGTCACGGCTTCTGACCTGACGACCCTAGACTCTCAGGCATCTTTTTTAGCTCTATAAAATGATCCTGGGTTCCTTTGAAAACACCAGAGTGATGGTCAGAATGAACCCTCGGAGCTCGTTAAATTTAAAACTTAGACTGAAATGTCCATTTGAGATTTATATCCTGCTTTTATGTCAAATAATAATATTAACAAGGACTTATTAGACCAGGAAATGGGTAAATTATCAATCACATCCCTCTGTTTCTATTGTATATAAATCCCTTGATCAGAAAACTCCCCAAACCCCTAGAATAACAACCTGCATCATCAAACCCTGGTATTTTTGTAAAGATGCTATCTCTTTTATACTGTATGCTAACAAGTAGGATGAGCACTGCCCAAACAGAGCAGACTCAATTCCACTGCAGCTAAGCTCTGCCGGCATCTTGTGTGCCTATTCCAGCAGCGAGGGAGCAGAGGGGGCCCAGCAGGCAGATCTGGCAGTGCCAGACATGAGGAGGCCAGAGTGGGATGGACAGGGGCCGGGCAGCTGAGGTTCCCCTCCGCCCCGCGTAGCAGCGAGGCTAGGCTAATCCAGAGCCTCGGGCCCCGGAGAGGTGGCTCTGCCAAAGTCCATCTCCCTGCTGCTGCAGGAAATTGCCTTCAGTGCAGAGGTCCATGAAATACTTACGGCTCACCACTGTCTGTGTGCACGTGGTGGTTTTACTAATCCACAGGTAGAACGTGCAAAATTACACCCTCTTCAGAATGTTCTATAATATATAAAAAGGGGTTTTGTCTCTAAAAGCCTGCAAGCCTCCGTCATGGTACTGTTTGACCCACAGGGCCAACCAGAGCTCCCACGAGGTCCCTTATACCTCCATCAGTTCTCATTAGTCCCAACACAAAATAAATAAAGCACAAATACCGATGATGACACAGACCACCCTTAAGTAGTTTCAAACGGATTATTAAAAAATGCACAAAGTGTGTTTTCTGTACATGTGTCCAATCCAGTTAGCTGCTGTGGATTCATGCTTTTAAATGACATTTATTTATATATTTGTATTTTTCAGAGGTCAAAGGGCAGCGGGAGCTAAAAGGTAGAGAACAGAGGTGGCAGCAGGAGGATGGAAGAGGAGGAGGAGGAGGACATGAAGCAGGACATAGTAGAGAAACAGTTGATTATGAGCCCCATCAAGTGATCAATGATTTCATTAATAAGACGGATCATGCGGCTGTCACAGCTGTGACACGGGCTGAGGGATGATCCGATTTCCCCCCCTCAAGCCTCCCTCCTCTCCTCTCCCTCTCTGTTTGTCCAATACTGCCACCGACAAGGGAAGGGGGAGAAGGGGGGATGGAGCAAGGTGCTGGTGAGGAGGGTGGGGGGAAGAGGAGGGAAGGAAGAAAAGTGAAAATCCATTTTGAAACCCATTTTCAATTAGGGGTCCACAAGCTGTTATCACAGGTGTCCCAGAATGGGGGCCCGTAAGTGAAAATGTCTCCTATCCGTTTCTGAAATGAAACCTTATCTGGGAGGCACAAAGATGGCGGGGACAGCGTATCTGTAAATTACTTTCCATCCCTGCTGTTAACGGGAACTTTATTTCTGTCAGATGACATTCCCCTCTATTTACTGTTGATCATTTAAATGGGTGCCTAAAAAGACGGTGGCCCCTCACTCATCCTCTATCTCTCCACCCTCTCTGCCCATCAGAGCGTATTCGTGTGCTCTTTTCTGCCTTAAACACTTTAGTCAGGCTTTCCATTTGCTTTGGGATTTCTCTGCTCACATAAGTCGCCCTTTAAGGCTTAACTTGTTTGCTTCTGTGACCCTTACCGTTGCCCTTTTTAACCATCAACACTTAAGAACGTCCTAACTCACCCACTTCACAACACGCTTCACAAAGAATCTGTGTAAGAACAACACTCCCCGACAGTTTTCTGGACTAAATCAAGTTTATGTCCTCCACTTTTTTTTTGATCTCCCTCCAACCAACTCCAGAATCCTCTACCATTTTTCACTCTACGTCACAAATCACCAGTCCTGTTTTAGCACCAAACTGTCCCATGACGACAGTATTTATTCAGCCAAGAGGCAGGGAAATCTACAACACAACAAAAGATTCAGGGGACTTAGTGGTCCACCTGCTTTCTGAATGATGAGGATTGGTGGAGGGGAGGAGAGAAGTCCTCCTTCCCTCCCTCCCTTTCCACCGATTCAACCAAAACTCCTCCTAAGGAGCACCGATCGCAGCATTGTCGCGACCCAGTCGGCTCTTTTGAGCTGTCACAGCAAGAGGAGGGGCCATGGAGATGAATGTAAGAACTCTAAATCAGGTTTCAATAATTACTCAAGTTCGGAATAAGAAGCAGGAAAACAGGGAATCAGAGATTTACTCGGCTGCTTTCAAAAGACTAGCGAAACGTCCACCACTCCACTTGCCCTTCCTGATTATTTTCCGTTTTCACAGCTTATCGTACACCACGGGGGCTTCTTGCTTTGAGATTTTGCTTGACGGGGGGGCATATTTCACCAAGTCTTTCTGAGGAGAACCAGTCGCCGGGGTTCCACAGCTGCTCACAATTACCTTTTGTTTGGACGGAGGCAGCAGGGCCGGGGCTATGGGGGTTAAAGTTGAGGGGAGTGTAGGGTTACACCTGAAAAGAGGTTAAGAGTTCTGGGGGTGATTTGGGAACGTGCTGTAATTATAACCACACAAAGAATGTGTAAGCAATATTATGAATAAGATCTGAAAAGGAGACTTGATCTATCGATTGTTCTCTTTCGTTGTGGGACTACTGTCATTTTTTGGGCTGTTGTCCTTCTGGCACGGCTGATTCGGTGTAGCAGACAAGGTTTTCAAGACAAACGGCATGCTGTTCAGAGCCATAATTACAAGGACATTACTAAGAAAAATCCACAGTCACCGAGCCAAATTACATCCATGCTTTTTCCACAACAAACTTTTCTTCCTTTCTGCACCTTTAATGAATAAAACAGCGCTGGCCATCTGGGAATGAGTTAGAGTGAGTGTGCTCCCAAGACGCTTCAGGATGCATTACCTTACCCACTTCCTGAGATAACTCCCATCTGGAGGCCAAGTCACAGCAGCTTATTTACCATTTCCCGGACTGTTTGTTTCCCGTTCACACATGGGGATGATGGTGTTTGACATCAGCGGAGTCAGAAAACACTCGGTCAAGTCAACAGCCCCGGCTCCTACAGCAAACTCTCCACATCCAAAACCTTCCAAATCCTCTCACAGCTAATGAGCACAGCTGCAGCTTAGGATGTGATGATCTCAACACTGGTTTTGTTATGACTTGAGCTTGATCCTCGAAGGCTTTTGAGAAAAAGAAAAAAATTGCCATCTAATATTTCCCTTTCCAGCCACAGATTTGAGAATAAAGGGCCGATTGATGTTACGCTTAATGGACTGCAAGCTCTGTGCCACTTTTAATGGCATGTGTTGAAGACGTCGCTGTGTAAACATGCCAAAGTTGCTAACCAGTGAGCGTTGTACGAGACCCACGATGATTTGTTAGAATTTATAAAATGTGCATGTGTAAATCTTCTAATCGCGCTTTTGTAAGTTGGCCGCGGTTACATAATGAGAACACAGACAATAAAAAGATTCTTTGAGCCCAGTGAGAACAGCTTGAATGTGTTGAGTGAGTAACTGGGACCTGTTGAAGACAACTGTGCCTACAGAGGTCAGGATATTCCAGGGAGAAAATTATTCAATCCTTTAAACCTTTGACTTAAAGAGCAAGTCACCCCCTACAAGAAACTTACTTCACTCCCACTTCATGTTTGAAAAATGCAACAAATGCTGTTGCTTGGCAGACCGAGAGGGCGGAGCTGCTAACAAATACACACACAGGCTCACAATGGCATTATGACATCATGATGTACCAGATGACATCATAGCATACCTCTTAGCCAATAGTGGTGGCAGATTTAAATTCAAATACAGTGCAGAGTTTTTCCCTGATGACGGCACAACACTGACAGTTTTAGGCAGAATACTTGAATTTTAACCAAGAAGCACTGAAGTGCCAAATTATTGACTACACGTGTCTGCAGCATGATTAGACACTCCTTTATATAGTTTATCAGCAAAAAAAGTGATTTGGGGGTGACTTGCTCTTTAAATAAAGATGACTGGTTATTTTTATTATATTTCTTCTCCACGATTTCCACAGGATTTCAGATGCGAAATGGCAGCAACAACGATCCAAACAGCTGGTCCCACAAGGTTTACAAAATCACTGTAGAACTCCAATATCTTGCAAGATTTCAGTAGTTTACAAGATAAGCAAGGAGAAGGATGACAGCATCGGACGGTTCACAGGTAATGCTGCTATTTATTTTACTAGTTAAGCAACTGGAAAAATGCAAGTGTCTTTTATTTTGAAAGTTCCTGGATGGTTATTATCTGGGTACCCTGAAGGTTACGTGATGCTTAAGCATCCAGTGGAAAACCAGGGTTTTGTTTACTCAAATCTCCTTTTTTTTGTACACACAGTAACTAGTTTTATGCAAATGCTTCTAATGATCTAAGGAGAATAAATATCAAAGTATCATCAGCGTATGGAGATAATGTTTGTTTATAATGTCCAATAATCTGAATAAAATGATGGGTTGAGGGATGATGGGTACCATTCGATGTGGTGCTGGAGGCCACTGCTTTCTCGCTGACATCCGTGCGGGCTGATGAGCCCTTCGTAGCGACGATTGTCTCCACCCTCTTCTTCTTCTCAGCTGCTGAACTGGCCTGGGACTGAGTTTCCATGGCGATGGTTCATTCCTCAATACCTCATGGAGACTGGGCAACTGGTGAAGAATATGAACAATGAGGTTAATATCACAAAATTTTAACACAAACACTGTGGAGTTTTATTTTCAGGCCCAGTCCTATCCACTCCACCAACGTATTCATCAGCATACACAGACACACTGATAAAACTGCCCTCACTAAAATAATATCCAGGTTCTTATTATGATTTGCCCCTTGGGAAACACGGTGCTAGTAATGCTAGCGTTAAGCCACAGCCGGATAGTGACCTAACAGTTAAGTTGCAGTAGTAAATGAAAGCTGAAGATCATCATAAAATAAAATACATCTTCCGTGTTCTTTACTTTATTTTGACAAATACCCATGACAGCGATCGGGCTCAGAGTGTGTCACATCTAAAATGGTCCAGGTTGACACAAGGCTCTGTTCTCAATCATTCTGTTAGATGAAATGTGATGATTCTACAATATCTCTGCGTTGGCTGATTGCCTACACATTCAATTCCTTCACTATTTTATATCAAGATAAAATAAACAACTTAATGTACACTTTTAATTGCATTCATTTCAAATGCCCCGCTTAGAGTTGAGCACTTTATCAATAAAGGCCTTCTAGACAAGACTTCTGCTCTGTAAATATTGCGAGGTAAACTTCAAATCCCTTTTTCACGATGCCCAAAGCAGAGCACGGGTCAGTCCAGCAGCTCACCCTGATATATTTTCATTCAGACCTGCTGGGCTCTGTTCTGCTCACCATGGCACTGATCTCCTGCAGCACTAACCATGGTTAAATACTCAGAACTTAGCTTGTCTTATTTTCAACTAAACTTTTGACTTTTCGTCAAAAACCAACAACAGCTCAATAAAAAGAGTAAGGCCAGGACATCCTGACAAGGTTTTATATCTCAGAATAAACGTGAAGGCAGCTTGTGGATAAACTGATAATCCTACTCTGGTACTCGTTTTCCAGAGAGAAAGAAGAAACCTTAAGGGGATGCCACAGAGAGAGAAAAATTCACAGTCTGGGAAAAAAAAAAAAAAAAACAACGGTTGTTTGAAGGCCCCTTTGGGAATATCATGGTGCCGGGCAATTTTTCTTTCAAAGAATAAAGGTGGTTCAAGTTAATACTGTCTGTGGGTTTAGAAGGGGTTCAGCCAAAAGTCTAGCAGACATGTTGCTCAGTTCAGCACCTGAGAGGCCGTCTACGAGCTCAAATCCATCTAGGTCATGTAGGTCTTCTGATTACGGATGGTGATCCAACACAACCACTCATTTACACAAAGTACAGGACAGACACGGTGATTCATGGATAACTAGTGGAAATATTTAGTCTGACAAGAATTTTCATTATAATAAACACCAGCTAATTACCCAGCTGTGCTGTTTAACTGTCCTCCACTCTATAAACATGCACGGATACAAAGGCAGTAAAGTTAGCTAAAATGCTAAAAGATTTGCGCTACAGAGACTAGAAGTAGGGGGGATGTTTTTTTTTTTTTTACCAACTCCCAAAGGAAGGAAGGCAAGGGGGAAGTGTTGAGGGGTAAACTTCAGACAAACACTGTGGGCTTTGTTTGTTTTTTCCCAAACCCCTGAAAAACCACAGTCTGTCATCCATTCTGACCCGACAACAACATCTGTAAGCAATTGCTTACAAAAGAGAGGGAGAGAAGAGGAAAAAATAACAACGAAGCAATTACACCCCGACCAATCAAAAGAGAATTAAACAAGAGCTTGTCCTGTAATCACTCCCGCATGAATAAATATGTAGCAGTCGTCCCCAACCAAAGACATTTTTGTCCTGCGTGCACAGATATAATCTTAAATCACTTCTGCATGTGTTTGATAAAGTGACGGCTTTCATTTCTGTGCTTTTTATGCTGTTAATGGTCTGAATGTGTGTGTTGCGTGTGAGTCTGCAGGTCTGTTGGTGAGCTCCTGATGCTTGGTGCTATTTAGAGACTCCATCATTGGCAAAACTATAAACCTGATGTAGTGTGACTTTGAATAATAGCTCAGATCTTTTAAAGAAATGATTCTTCAAGATTATGGACCATTAATAACCTATTTGTTGTAAATACAACTCAGAGAAACCTAAGAAGAATTTAAGACATAAACTGCACAATCCTTATTAAAGTTAAAGTCCCACAGTCATCATCACACACTGGTGAAATTACATCTCCCTATGGGGAGCAGTGAGCTGCAGCAATGGCTGTGCTTGGGAATTATTTGCTGGTTTAACCCCCCAATACAACCCATTAAAGCTGAGTGTCAAGCAGGCAGGCATTGGGTCCTGTTTTTTAAACCTTTGGTATGACCCAACTGGGATTTTAACCCTGACCTTCCACATCTCCCAACAGTATGAAGCCTAATTTATCTTCTCCATCTGTGTCGGAATGGACACACGCAACGCCATTATGCGTCAAAACAAGAGCCTTTGACAGGCTTGCGGAAGAAGACAGAGACACACCCCAAAAACTATCCGTCGAGCAAGCTTGTGATTGGTCAGGATGCTGCTTCCTGTTTCATTCGTCAACAGCACTGTCTTTACTGCGTCAAAAAGTAAAGAGATATTTAGCGGCATACACGGAACAGATTGAATAATGCATCGCGGAAAAAGTCTGTAAATATGAAAGTTTATTCACCCGTGAATGAAGAAGTTCAAAGACATGCAGCAAGCGTTTTACTCGTGCAAAAGACGAGAAACGTGAGTTTAGACGTGCCGATCGCGTGGAGAGGTGGAGGGGAATGAGGGACAAATTGGTCTGTGATAAAAAGTCTCTGAAATACATTAAAACACTCATGGACCGCATACGTGACTGTAATGGTGGCAGGATACCTCAGAATAGCGCAATGCCCTCTGTTGTCCTGGCGGGGAATTATTTTGTAACACTCCCCAGCTGACTGAGAAATCTGAAAGCAAAATGTCTGTCAATGTGTGTGAGTCTCTCCCTCACTGAGCTGATGGAGAAGTACAAATCAGGCTTTAGTGTTGCTGTGTTCACTTCCAAGCCACTAGCCAGATCAGCTAGTGCCCTACCCGCATGGGCGGAGCGCCGGCTCTGCACTAGTTACCTTTTGTGGTTTTATTCACATCTGCCATCACAAAGCTGAAGCTCATTTGTCTTTTAAATCCTTTTTTGTTTGTTTTTACATAATTTTCTGAATGCTGTGACCATTTCATTGCTCATTTGGCTGTTTATATCAGCGTGTGCAGCACAAACATTTGCTTGAACTAACTTTCAAACATGCTATAACGTTCAAAAAAACAGATAAACTATTTTATTTAGCTTAGCATCAATCATTACTAACTTCTCTAATGGCTGTGTTTTGGAGATGGCCTGAAAAAGTACATAAAATGAACAAGGATTGCTAATTTTCTATTAACATCTCATGAACTTTGAACCCTCAAAATTGTTTTTGGTTGGCACTAGAGGTGGACAATGTGGCCCACCCCTAGTTGGCACCAGCTGCATTGCAAGGTTGTAAAGGGGCTTGTTCGGAAAGCGTGCTACAGTTTCTACATGGGGGAGGGGGGGGGGGGGGGTACAAAAGTAAGATGAACAACAAAGCTGTCAAATGACAACTTTACATTGTCTCACTACTGTTGTGGTTTTGTCTTCAAAGTTTATCAGCCCCTTGTGGCCTGGGGCCCCAAGTGGTATCCTGCCTTGCCCGGCGGCACACGGCGCCTCTTCTTGGAGCACTTCCATTTCTGACCAAATATCATTTTTCTGACTAAAAAAACAGTGCTTTGTACAACTGGTGGATTTTTTTTTTTTTTTTACTATAAATTGGTTTTAGAAAGCAGTGCCACGGGATTTTTGAAATACTCAGTATGGGTTCAATGTTTGTGCAACAGCAGATTTACATAGTATGTCTGTGTCCATTACTGTGTGCTGTGTTGTGTTCGAACCCAATTATGTTATTTTTTATTTGTGGTTTTTAGTGGTCGAAGGTTACAATACTAGTTTACTGCCTATGTGTATCTACATGTATCTTGTTCTTATTTTTCTTCAAATTAATATTTTAAGTGTTGGTGCTGCTGTAACATGTGAATTTACCCACTGTGGGATCAATAAATCCTATTCTATTCTATTCTATTCTATTCTGTTTTCCCTGCCTAGACTAGCTATTAGATCCATTCAGAACTGAAATCTTTCTCTCCTAACTGGAGGTTCCTCAAAGAGTTTTTCCAACAGTTAACATATTAATTGTTTATAGTTATTTTTCGCAGAACCCCCTGGAATAACGCTTTCAGCAAAAACAGTGAAGAAGGAAGAATTAAGGGTTGCGTGTGGAGCACGTGTCTCCTTGCCGCCCCCCAGGTGAGTCAGGCCAGAGAAGAAAAAAAAATGAAGAAATGTAAATCCGAGGGTGAGCATTGGGGTTTGAGTTGAGGGGGGAGGTTGAAGAGAAAAGCGGGGCATTCCACTGGTCGGGCAAACATTCAGGAGTCCAAGCCACTAAAGCGTGTCTGACGGGCCTTTTGTGCTCCACAAGGCAGGCCACAGTTCCAAAGCAGCAATTAAAAGCTGGACCTTTTCACCCATAATCCCTCTGACCTGGACGCCTAAACCCATTTCTGCAGATGTTCCCGTCTCTGTTTTCACCTGTCAAGTTGCTCATTTCTGTCTGAAATTTACCAACACACAGATGCATCAATGAAGACTTTAGTAGACAGGAGGATTCTTCTCCCTCGCAAAAGTCCCTTTTACTCTAAATTCCAACCCAAGCAGGTAGAGTGCTGTTGTTATTCAACATAAGGCTAAATTTTATATTAATGTATTTTCTATAGCACATCTGCCCTATAGACGTGAAAAAGAGGGTGTATCTTTATTTGTGTTCAACTGTAATCCTTCCACGCAGACAAGGGAGCCAATTAAACAGGTTTAAACACCACAATTTAGACTGTTCCCTTAGAAAAAATACTTATTTCATAAGCACATTAAGCAAATCAATTTAACATAAATTACACGCCTTGGTGACAAAGGCACTGAGTTGAAAGTCATCTGCAAATTGTAGACATCAAAGTGAA